GCCAAGAACTCCACGAGTCCTTGCTGTCTGTCCAGCCCCGCTGGCCCTTTCCCTGCTGGCCCTGAGTTCCTTTTGAAGAGCCACGATGGTACTTGGCCTGATTGGCCTGGTCGCTCTCCGACTCCTGCCTCATCTTGTCTTTCTGGTCTGTTCCAGAGCTGCCAAGATTGCGTCCGTCTCGGCATTCGCTGTGGTAGACACTTCCGCCATGGTCCTGACAAATGAGCAATCCAAGAATTGAGGCCTGAAAGAGAACATTGCAAGACTTGTTTGTTGTGTGCTCCTGGCGTACGAAAGCAAGCTCCACAGTAGGCACAAGGGGAGGTTTTACTCAAGCCTGCTTGAGCACAGCGGGCAATAGCGTCAGACTTTCTGGACCATGCCTCATCATGCATTCTCCGATATTGAGTCTTGAGAGGCCCTTTTTCTGAAAACCATTGTCCACATATCGCACAAAAGTTCTTGAGCTCCTGAAGGATGGACTTCTGATCAAGCAGGATTCTCCAAGTGCTGCTCAATAACATGTTCACTACCTCCGGTCGCTTGATCATTGAGAGGGGAGACTGGTGCTCCCGGCGCGTCTGCCCATGCAGAGCACCAGCTCCTTCTTCCTCCTCCACTTTGCTCACGGCTGGTTTCTGCAAGAGGGTCGCCGCTTCTTGTTGCACTTCCTTTGAAGGAGCTCTGGGGATCTTTTCACACGTGCTCAAGAGATGCGCCCTCAGGCCAGAAAACCTGTCGAATCTCTTTCCGCAGTAGGCACACTCCGGCATGCCGTCTACCATTGCACAAGTAACGTCGAGTTCTTTACGCTTCTTATAATCCTTACCAGCAGGATTGACCAAACTGATCTTGTGCTTCTTGGCATGGTGCTTGCGCATGGAGGACTGATCAAGAAAATACATGCCACATGTGGGGCAAGAAACTCCAGCATTCTGAGCAATCGGCAAAAGAACCTCAGACCTATCACCCATTTCAGTATCTTGAGACACCTCCTGAGTTAGGAAGTTTAAAACCTTGGCAAAATGCTGCTGAATGCTCTCGTTTTGGCACTTCTTGATCCTGCCCTGCAAGAGCTTCCTGAAATACTCTTGGATGGGCTGTCTGCGGAGGAAAACATCATTTGGCTCCCTGGTGAGATGCACCGGTGATCTTGCAATCGCCCTGAAATGTTGTATCTCGTATTGTTGAAGCCGGTTCAAGCTCTTGGAGGTGAAGCCAACTGCGTGAACCCCGTAGGCTGTACTGGATCGCGCACAAGCACAATACAACCGAAGACGATGCTGAAAATCAATGGTTCTCGATGAATGCAAGATCTTGATCAAACGCTGTCGATGCGTTGAGGAAACCTGGATCCTGTGCTGCACTGTCTACATTTCGAAATTTGAAGAAGAAATGACCACTCCAAGCTACACCATGCGATCCGCAAGTGGAATGAGCAAAGGATCGCTGACTGTCCCCAAGTTTATCAAACCTGCTTCTTCTTCTTGAGTACTCTTTGCTTGATCCAGCTCTTTGCAGCTCTACCTTTTACTCCAATGCTAAGAACCGACTTTGTGGGATTGACCTTCATGCCCAGTTCCTGAAGCAAAGTGTATGTTTCCCTCACAAACTTTGCCATCTCATGCATTGAGTCCACGCTGTCAATCAACCAAGCAGAATGCGTGTCATCAGCAAACATAGTGAGAAATTTCTCCACCCAAGCAGAGCTGGTTCTGGAAGCAAGCAAATGTGAAAAATACACCATGAAGGCTGCAAAAAGTGTCGGAGCCAAGGTGCAGCCCTGACGGACTCCCCGTTTCATGGAAAAGGAAGCGCCATGCCCTGCGTGTTCCACATGGTATTTTGATGTTTCATGCAAGTGGAATATAAGGATGCACAAATCCTCCGGCACCCCCATGAAACGAAGAGCGTCACGCATGACCTGTCGAGGCAGCAAGTCAAAAGCCTGACTGAGGTCGACACTCAACTGTGCACCTCCATGACAGGAGGTGGGCCTCCTGCCTTGTCTCTTGGCAAAAACTCCACAGTTTCCTTGCTTCAAGCGTTCCCTGACTTCGCTGCAATGCTTGATTACCCTGGAGATCGCCTCGTCTGTTGCTTTCCCAGGCCAGAAACCAAACTGTGGAAAAGCCATAGGGGTGAACAAACGGCATGATCAAAGACTTCAAATGCATAGCCAGCGCTTTCCCACCTGGATCCTGTTTGGCAGTTTTGTCATTTTACCTGGCTTGTTAAGGAGGATCAAGGAGCAGTCCTTCCAAGGCGCTGCGACCCATGGTACACAGAAATCCCAGTGCATATTCAGTTTAGACTCCATCCACTTTGACAGAGCCTCCGCACATGCGTGCCATACCGTTGTGGGAAGACTTGTCTTGGGGCTTCCTTTGCCTTTCCGCAGTCCCCGTATAGAACCGACCAGGTCGTGATCTTCAAGGTGCATGCAATCCTGAAAACTTCTGGTCTGAGCATCCGGGCCGACTGAGAAAACCGTGGAAAAGTATGCACGAAAGTCCTCCATTTCCTGGTGCGAATCCTGCAGCTCTCCTTGTGCAGAGCGAATTTGTATTTTATCCCGCCTATGTTGAGGTGCCAGCCTGCGTACAATGCGATACAGCTCAGCTTGATTGTGCCTCTCTGCTGCCTGCTGAGCGGCGTCAAGCTGTTCCAGAATGAAGTGCTTACGCTGCTGTTTACCATTGGCACGCACTGCTTTGTGTGACTTCAAAAATGCAGCACACCGTTTCCAGGCCTCAAAGGTACTCGCCAGAAAGGATTGTACTGGTCTCGCTCCAGCCAGGTTCAGGAGGCTGCGTGATTGGGGCCGATGCAACGCAGACAGCCCACCATGCATCTTCATGTGCCGGTACCTGTTCCACATGTCACGCAAACTGTCCTGTACAATCGCTGTCTGCCATGCCTTCGCATTTCTTTGTGAGAATCGACTTGGAAAGTGTTGTGCACAAAGCTGTAAAATTTCTGCATTTAAGTCTGCCGGCGCTAGCTCAATGTGCGATGCAACAAACTGACTGACAGCTGAGCTCAGGGCTTCCGAGGCTGGGGGCCGCTGTGCAACCGCAGTTTCAAGAGCATGCTTATCATAGCTGCTGCCAGATCGATGTACCCTTCCAGGATTCCATCCAGTCTTTAATGGGACTGAGGCGCAAACCATTCTATGTTTGGAACCGCTTCTCCAAGGCGTGAGATCAAGGGAGGATATTTTGGCTTGTTTTGCATGACGGTCAGCAGTACCCCTTCTAGTGATCAAGAAATCGATCTGCGTTCTCTGTTCTCCAAATACATATGTCGCCGAAACAGAAGACCGACTGGACTGCCAAGTGTTCAATACGCAAAGGTTGCAACCCACAAGCACGTTCATGAAATCCGTGTTGTCTGGTTTATGTTGGGTCGTCACCTTGAGGACCCCTAGCCCAACATACCCCGACTTTGGCTCGCATGAACAATTAAAATCACCTCCAAGCAAAAGAAGGTTGCGCCTGGGCAGGTTGCTTACATGTCTGCCAGCTGCTGTCCAGAGTTGATGTCGCTTTGCTTCGACATGTTTATCCGCAGTACCACTCCAAGACCACTGGTACATGCAAAGCAAGTCAGCATGAAAATCACCCAGCGAAACTCGCACATGTAATAGTCGTCCAGGGACTACAGCATGAAAACGCATGTCCACAGAGGGAAAAACCTTGGCTGAAAGGAAAATAGCCACTCCTGCAAAGCGAGTTTGTGGATCTGCCGATGCAACCACATGCCAGTTCGCAGTCGTCCAGCTGTTTTCTTTCTCCTTGCCTAGGCCCCAGTGGGTCTCTTGTACATATACCGCATCAAAATCATCTTGCTGTGTGAGCCATTTCATGAAGCTGTCATAAGCATCGGTGGAAAAGCCGCCAATGTTGTAGGTGACGGCGCGCAGTCGCCTGTTCGAGCTCGGAGGATTTTGTAATCTGGTGGACTTTGCAAGGCTCCGTCCCACTGGAGTAGAAATTAGCGGTCCACCCAGCTGCTTGAGATCCAGCCAGCGTCCTTTGTACCAGGTGCCTCCTTGACTGCTGTTAGTCGCCCTGCGGACAGCACGCTTATACGCCCTTTTTTGAGTCGGGGTGTATGAAGCAATACTTCCGCTTCCTGCCGAGCCATTGTATGAACGTCCATGTATTTTCGCTCTAGGAGCTCCCAGCTTGCCCATGGTATGCAAGCCAACCCTCGGCTCTGCATGCTGATCAAGTGTATCTCCACTTCTGTACAGGATAGCATGCTCCGGGATTTGGGACCCGGATGACTCAGCTGTCACATTTTGTGCTCCACGGGAGGGCATGTCTTCTTCCAGAAAAAGGCAACTCGCCAATAACAAATTCAAACACACAGAGAGAAATTTAATCTTCCAGCATGAAACCATTGCAGCTACCTACCCCCTTCCCCTTGCATTGTGCCTGAGCCAAGAGCCTTCCACCTGCCCCATGCCCACTCTCCTCCCACAAGCAAGTGGGTCAACTGGGGTTAGTGGGTCAAGTGGGGCAAGTAGGGCAAGTGGGCCAAGTGAGGCAGGGGTTCGTTTTGGGGCCTTGAAGTGGTTTGTTTGGAACCTCCAGAGCAGGAGTTGAGGGGGCCACATTATGGGGGAGTGGGGGGCAAGTGGGCCAAGTGGGCCACGCGGGGCAAGCGGGGCAGGGGTTCGTTTTGAGGCGCTCAAGTAGCTTGTCTGGAGCCTCAGGGGAAGTGTGGCAAGTGGGTCACGTGGCGCAAGTGGGTTAAGTGTGGCAAGTGGGGCAGGTGGCCGCGGATCCTGAAATCCCCCCAACGCCGACACTCTCAACAAGAAGAGTGCGCATCTGGATTCTGCCAGTGAGATCCTGCTCTAGCTTTCGTCCCAGTCCCTTTCCCCCAAGTTCCTCTCCGGCACAGCAAGGTAGCATCAGAGAGTTGGGATGAGTTGGGTAAATGTCGCGGTCAGGCTACGGCAACAGCTGCAAGCACGTGCATTTGCAGAGGCAAGTTTCAGCGCCGCCCATTCGACACCAACAGCCGAGCTGTACGAATCGCTTGTTTGACCGAGAAGATTTTACGTGCCTTGGTGCCAAGTGCGATACAATACATTTTTCAGCGCTAAATTGTAAGAGACGTCTCAAGTGGTGAGGTGTGAAGTGGTATGATGTGGTCATGAGAGTTCTGCCCAATTCATGGAAGCTTGAGCCAGATAGACAACCTTGAGAGCGAAATCAGTTGGAGAGAGGGGAGGTGGGACACGCTTTGCTGCATCGCTCAGGTTTGCGTGCTCATTTACTTAGATGCTCGGCTGAATTGCAGCCTGGGAAGGTTTTCCGCGCCGCTTCTCCTGCCCACCCATCGCTGCCAGACGTGATAAGCATGTCGCACCACGTAGAGACCCAACGAGACAGATGCCTCGGCATGGATGGCCGGGTTTGCAAGGTTCAGCGCTTGAGAACCAGTCATTGCTGCTTCTTCATACTCTGATGATCTTTCCCAAGCTTTGCCTCATGTCTGGCGACTGGCTAGACCTTGCAATTCTCGAGTACGCCACATGAGCATTGACGCGGTTCAAGTTCTTGGTATCAGTACAACAAACCTACCAGCTGGATTTCTTCGAGCTTAGCTTACTGTTCCTGTCTCATTGTTTTATCCTTTCCCACTGCTCCTTGCAAATTCATCTTCGATCCGTGTGCATGGCAAGCACTGGCAATTGATCTGTGTGCATGGCAAGCACTCGCAAGAAGCGAATTACATGACTTGTTTTTTGCGTGCAGCTTTGCAGAAGTATTCAGGGGATAAAGTAGGCAAACGATGGATAATGCAGAAAGCCAGAGTATGGCTTCGCAATCGAGGTACGTAGTGTAGTGCGTTTTCTAGATCCAATGACATCATTGCAGTCGCAAGGGACAGACATGGGCGGTCCCCATCAAGAGGCCAAAGAATCGATGAGGACCGTCTGGGATGTCATGATTTGACATGTGGCCCAGCATCTGTCACTGCAAGATTCGGGCAGTTCCAATGCATATTAAGACTTTTTAAGCATGGCTGCGATGCTGCAGTGTCGGTCAGCTTAGCAGGCCTAGAAGCAGGTTAAGACAGGTTGCTTTCAATCCAAGAGCGCGGTGTGACCGGTGCAGGTGCAGTTATGCAAGCACGTGTGCGGCAGTGGCATGAGAGCAATCATGCAGACAATGCGTTGTTGCTTCACCTCCTCAATCCCCAACTTCCAAGCAGGTGTTAGGGATGCACGGCGAAATGCGCAGAGGAAATGCCTCTCACGGCGAAATCGAGCCATGAAAGTTCTGTACAAGCCACCAAGCCGAATTGGTGTAAATTGTGCTTTTGGTGTGCCTGTGGCTGATGGTACCATCTCAGGACAGATTACCCGCTCTACAAGCACACTTGCCAAGAACTGGGAATCCGATGCATAAGGTATGCGCCACTCGGTCAGCATAACACGGTTGCAAGCCACCTCGAGCACGAAGCCTGATGCATCCTGATGCCTATTCATGACTGCTTGTTTTGAATCAGGAGGTAGCTTGAAAGCCCTTTGCAGTTCCTGATTCCCTCTAACTCTACTTGTGGCAGGTGCTGGCATCCGAGGTAGAAGTCAGCTTTTTGTGTTTTGCTGCGGTGTTCTGCCTATGAGAAACCGACCATACACACAGAGCAAGTAAAACACGAGTACTGTAGTAGAGATTATCCAGATAAGCGCCGTTGCCTATTCAACTTAAGAAGCTTGGCTTGGATGATATAGCATATGTAGCGTGCGTTGGCGGAATTCGTTAGGTTCAACACCCGAAGCTACGTACGTCTGAAATGAACATCGCGCCTCACAGGCTTAGATTCCCACATGCTGAAACAGAGCTGCTGAGCTGAAAAGCAGTCAGCAAAACAACGTCATGCAAACACACTTGGTCGGATAGCTAGGTTTGGTCCTAGTGTCTTGTCTTGCACATGAATCATCAAGGACAAAGGGCCCAAGCCTGAGCTTCCCGGAATGTGTTGAGTTGACAGGATCGAGAAGCTGGCAAGAGGCTTACGGGAACTAGCAATACCACATCAATTCCTGCAAACCAATCCCACATGCCAACGGGGAAACGACCTCGTTTGTCACTGGGGCAAGCCCTCACGCTATTGGCACACGGTCACGCAACTTGATGCCCAGCATGGATTGTCGCTGCGGCCTCACCGCCAGTCCAGCCCTTGCTAACACCAAGCAAGAGGAAACTCTAACGTGCACCGGATGCAAAACAGCGCTATCTAACAAACCTTCCCGCGCAGCCCTAAGCTGGCATTCCTGATGGAGGTCACCGTTGAGGTGCGTCAAGCTGCTGTGAAGAGCTTTGCATGAAGCTGTTGGAGCAGCAAACTCAAGGATTCCGATGAGACCGGAGCCGCAGACGATGATCAATGCGCAAGCCGTTGATGGTGATTATGTTGCTTAGCTGAGCGTCACATTGTCAGTCCTGCCATAGCAGAATTGGAAGTAATTGCATGGGCAAGTAGGCAAAGTGGCTTATCCGGCAGCGGCAGCTTGGCATCATTTGACAATGACGGCTCACAGGGAAGGGCCGCCCATGGTGGCTATTTGCTTGATGGAGTTCAGTACAGTGCTGGCAGGATTTACAAAACCAAATTCAGACCTCGAGAACTACGCGAACCCGGATCTCAAAGAAGAATTCGCTGGTCACGCCTATGCCCTCAGTTGTCAACCGCGGCTCAGGGGACCTTCATGCATTCCAAGCAAATTGCAACTGCGACGAGACACTGCCACAACCTTTTGAATTGGATGTTGCCTGTCTCTGGTGAAGTCCGGTTTAACACTTCAGTTTCTCCTGCGTTGGAAGAGTTGGCCGAACATGTCTAGACTTGAGATCTTGTGCAAAAGTAACCCAGTGCAAGAGAGTGTGCCGCGCATTTCTTCTCATCCCGTGGAACGAGGTCATCCGCTGGAGCCTGTGCCAGCCAGCCACGGCAGGCACAGTCCTGGACTCGAAGCTTGGAAGGTGTACTCTTGACCTCACTATCAATTTGCTGGTGCGAAAGCCGGTGCTGTATTGCGTGGCAGTCTCTGAAGCAAGATGTTGGTAGTAAGCCCGGGTGGCCATATCAGACTTACCAGGCCGAAAGCCACACCTCAGCAAGTCTCTACAGCCTGGCCATATGGAGTTCGACAAGACCGTGTGGAGGGAAAGCAGGCGCCTAGGTCAAGTGGGACTTATTTTAAATGTGCATGCACGTGTGTAATTTTCCATGTATTTCTAGAATTCCATCACATATCAATACTCCACAAGAATCTCCTGCCGGCAGGTGGTGTACAACCCAACAGCAGCTGGTCGTGGCTTCCAGCCTGCTAAAATGAAGATTGTAGGTGGACGAACTCAGGAACCTGAGTGAACTGCGTGCAAAAGGATGCTGTTCAGCATGAGAGTGCAATTGTGGAAAGATTCTGCGAGGGCTAAAGGAAACCTTCCTCGTGCCGAACCTGAGATTGCTTTTTTGTCGGCAGGCATTCTTCACTCAGTCAGCAGGGACGCGGGAGAGGGGACACATTTCCATAAATCATAAGTCGAAGCCATGGCCGAGCAGATGTCATCACGGCCAACACGGAGGCGTTTGGCATGCTGAGCTTGAGGTGAGCATGCCGGTGACATGCCATGCAGGTGTAGCTCACCCGTGAAGAGACGTCCAGGACACCAGCACAGCGAACAAATTGACACGCCAACTGCGCACCCATCCAGCACAGACAAGACTACAGCAACGATCGTACTTGCGTATTTCTTTGCATCAGAGCTGTTCGGATTTGGGCCTTTGGTTGCACCGTTGCACTTTACCGGCACAGACATTTGCAAATCTTTTAAGTGATGCTGCAGCCATCAGTACTTCCACTTGAACTTCCCAAACACCAACGAAACCCGTCCCCAAATTCTAGTCCGCGCGCTGCACAAGGCTGGGTTCTTGAGCTCAGTGGCAGGCCATCTTTCTAGAATCCCCAACCACGCAATTCACTCCAAGCTTACTGAAACGGTGCTGGTCCAATGCAATCTTGCTTTGGCATTTGTTGGTCTTCTGAACGGAAAGGCAGCGGTTTCCTTGGTGTTTCTACCGGAGTAACGGAATGCTCCAGCCCCTAAAAGCGGCTTTTCAGAGCAACACAGGTGCAAAAAGCTCGAGCCTGCTTTGCTCGGATATGCTGGCAAGGCATTTTAAATGCCTGGAGCCCAGACAAATGGTGAGCCTGATGCCGAAGTAGAAGCCGCCAATGAGTGGAGCTTTGAGCCGAGACTTTCAATAAACAATGTAGAATACGAGAAAAGGCCGCCCAATACATTGAGCTCCGGCTGGCGTTGGACGGCAAGAGTATGAAGGGTTAGAGACAGTGTCCATAAGATACGGCGCAGGGAGTTTAGACCCTGTTCAAGTGCTGGGCAGTTAGATGACTGGCTTCTTCCGCCGTCGCCGCCGCCGCTGTCCCCGCTACCATCACCGCCACCCTCACGCCACCCCCACTCCCACCCCCACCCTCACCCCAACAACACCTGGCACTCAGACCTGTGCTCTTTGCATGGAACGGTTGCTAGCGCTGAAAAAATACATGCATGCCATGGCCAGTAGCATGTTGAGTGGGGGGGGAACTTCTGATGGGTTCATCTGGCTCCTGTTGCAACAGCCACTTTCTGAACCCCGAAAGCGTACATTCAGGGGAAGCCTCCCTCGCTTCAGGCACCCTTGCTGGTTGAAGGCATCCTCTTCTGCAGGCGCAGACGCTTGTTGACAGAGTGTTGGCTTGCATGGCAGCAGGTACTAGTTTTGACAGCCTTGCAAATTCCCATGGCCTGTGCATCTATGCCTTAAGTGGAACACTGTGAGAGCTCGCAATCCTGAGCGCCGGGATGGGAGCAGGTGAAACAATTCACGCACATGTTAACTAGGAAATTGCATCGAGAACTGGAAGAGAGAGAGAGAGAGCCGGGAAGAACACCAGCCTCTACAGCATGCAAAACCAAAGCAAGCCCAAGCCACGCTGCCCCAAGCAACAGCTCCACCAGCTCACTTCACAGTACCTCTGTGCCCACTACCACCACCCACCCACATTACAACCAGCATCGTGCCTCATTACAACCTTTCGTGGCACTACACAGTGGACTTCCACTTTTACGTGACTTACTGCAGCACCAAGTTCAAGCGCACGCCACCAGAGCAGCAGGCTCCACAGACACTCCCCCCCGCTAGACGAGTTAAGACTCGAAGCAGACATCGCACAGACACTTACAACACACATTCAATCCATCGTTGCCAGAATGCTAGCCCGCGTCCCCCAAGTGGCTACAGTACCGCACCACAACGACGTAATCACCATAGATAGTCAAGAAAATGAACCACGGCAGCCCGAAGAAGCCACTGCAACGACAACCTTCGCAACAGCACTAGAAGCAGCAGGGGCACAGCACTCGAATCCCACGGCACCACCGCATCTTCTTTCACAAGGTCCACCCCTGCCAACAACACACCCTGCAAAACAAACGCTTCCACCACCACAACCAGTGCAGCCAACACCACAGTCCGGGCAGCAGCCATGGTGGGTACTGGGCCGGACAACGATGGTGGCAGAAGGAACACAAAACACAGACACCACCATGCAACCACAGGCATCACCACACAGCCCACCCATGCCAACAACATCCTCTACACAGCCAACACCACAACAGCCACGACATCCACGACCATTGCCTCAACCTCAACCACCACAATCGTCACAACCATGGTGGGTATTGGGCTGGCCTCAACCGCGAGCCATGGCAGCAAGCCAAGCCAGCTGCAGCGCAGCCACCATCGAACAGGAGCAGGCCACCACCACATATACAACAGCAAAAACCTGGCAAGCTGACATTTTCACAGCACCACTGGAGCAACCGCATCACAACTACAGATGACGCTCCCGGACTCTCCCAACATGGAGTCAAAGGAGCAGACAGCGGCTGCTGATCACAACCTCGATGGGGCGGCCAACATCACCAAGCTTTCCGACCAGCACAAAGAGAAGTACTGAGCGATGCCAGCAGTACAGACTTTTCACCTAAGCCAGGCCCAGATTTCAACAGGTGTGTACTCAAATCTTGCCTGCCACAGTTTCACTGCAGCAGTCCCAAGCTGCCAACCAATGTCCTAACTATCTACCGGATGGGTTTTCTCAGGTGCCCAGTAAAAGTACTGGCAACAGACTGCAGCTAGATAAAACAATACCAGGCCTAGAGCTCAGCCAAATCAAAGTTTCAGTTTCACTTAGAACCTTCCGAGGAGTTGTTCTGTTTGCTTCTAAGCTCAGAGCCACTTGCCGAAGCCCAGCAGCAGTGAGAAGCCACACATGCTAGTTGTCATCTTTGGTGAGCCCTCATCCTTGCACCACTGCTACGCTGTCCTTCCCTGCTAACCTTTTCACCACGTAGTCCACCAATGACCAACCTTAGCAACAATACCCACATAAACTAAGCCCCGTAAGTTATTGTTGACTGCAAGTATTGTGGCAACGAGGAAGGCAACGGACCTTACAGATGGCATGTCCTTACGTACCGTGCAGGGGTTTGAAGGGTAATATGGGATGCCGATCTGTAAGACCACGAGGGGTGAATTTCCGCCAGATCAGCCCAACACGGGCTGGGCATACACGCGCGGGGGCACCGCAAGGTCCTCCCATAGCCCGAACGCCAGAAAGAAAGAAAGCCGCGAAGAAGAAGAAGGAGAGAGTGAGAGACAGACAGATATCGCACCTGCTTTCAGGCGCGGTAGGCACACACTTGGGAACATGGCTTTCCATGTTGCAGGGACCCTGCGTTTGGATGGTGGGGTATCTGGCGAGGTCAGAAAGAGAGTGCCTGCGAATTCACCCTTTGGCGCTGTAGCACCAGGTGCGCATGCGCTAAGGTGGATCCTGCAGCATACAGGTGCCCAGCCTTCAGTGGCGCATAGGTAGCTTTTGAGCCTTTGCTGTGTTTCGCCACCAGGGACCTGGGCTGTAATGACGAAGGCCTTGATGTACCATAGAGTGGTAGTGACAGGGTAGGGTAAGAAAGAAACAAAAGAAGATTACCCCGGGATGCGCGGAACTCATGCATGCATAGAGACCCAGAGAGGAGGGTGTAGCATAAAATGTGATGGTAGGTATTTTCCCTTAGTCGCAGTGTTGGCCAGTCAAGCTGTCTGTTTATCCTTGTGCTCCTACATTAGTTGGTGTGTCCTACATGTGTGGCGCCCACTCGTGGTCGAAGAAGAAGAAGACCTGAGAGCCAAATACTCACGCGTTCACAGCATTTTGCACACGGAGAAGCCTCTTCAACAAGCAGCTGGCTGCTGTAAAGCTCTTGACATCAGATGATTTGGAGGGGTGTGGTTTCACATAGCTCTTGCAGGCGTCTGCACAGGCTTGGACCCAGGACGTGTCTGGAATCTGTAGCAAGACCTACTGCGCTCGCAACTATCAAATTCTGAGTTTGGAAATTTGGGATCGGGGTTTTCCATGTTATCTTTAGTAGGCTAAGCCAACTTAAGCATCACCAAGGCCTCCCATCATGTGAGTTTATGTTGGGGTGTTCCTGCGTTGACTGACGTGCAAACATGTGCAAACGTGTTCCCAAGCTTTCGCAGCTGTAAGTCGCTGTACGTTCTGCATTTGATTGATACAGACATGTGCCCTTGAAGCCTGTCGATGATGCGTTTGTGGCTGCTTTGAGGTGTGGACGACTCGTCAAGGAGGGCAAAGTTCTGAAGCACGCAGATGGTAATCCTGGCTATGCTCTCACTTTGGAAGGCTTGTGATTGGCAGAATGGAGGCCAGTGTAAAGACTTGCAACAAACATGGTTACGCTAATAACGTATGCTTTTGCTGCCTGCATTTTCCGGTGGTTACCCTCGAAGCTGCGTAAGCTCTGACAGGTCCAATGAAGCCTGATGGCTTTCTTGTTTACGCTCACAATTCAAGAGCGCATGCTCTGGGTACACTTTGCCCGTATTCTGTGGCGGGCAGTGCGTGCAACAGGCAGCGGGGGGACGAGGCTGCATGAGACATCATGGGACCGGCAGGGGGCATTGCCGGCAATCTCATGCTCTGAGCAGTAGCTGGCAATCTGCACAGCTGATTCAAGCATTTAGTACATTTGCCCTGGTCTGACTTCGGGACTGACGCCTGCAACCTGTCACGTGTGCTTTCTGTTTGCATCGGCTGTTGATGCTGTTTTTGACATTGATCGGCATCCAGATGTTCCCAGCAGAAGTTCTTGAGCATTGTCCACAGCCCCAAGAAAGCTGTGGGCTTTCATTGTTCGCAGTCGCATTCTATTCTTCCAGCAAAAAGAATAGCATACACAAAGACAAGGCATTCTGAACTAGCTCTGCTACTGTGT